GCAGAGTTCGAACCTAGGACATCAGGGTTCGACGCACGTTGATGGCAGTGACTTGAATCGCTTGATCCCCACTAACCACAGCAGTACGTTGAATCACACCAAGTCAATTCTCTAAAATTACCTACTGATAAATTATTCAATCCGTTATTTCCTCTAGTGGCCAAGTGGTACAAGTGAGTAATGTATCGACGCGTTACTCATTTGTTGGAATACTACCATTTTAGTCATTTTACTCTTTTCTCTCGCTACCTTTGATCCTGTTGATTGTTCGCATTTTCCTGCCGGAAAATTCGTCTTTCACTTATGGCGTATAATTTGAGGTGACAAAGTAAATGTCAGCTACAGGTATTCATCGAACTGGTGTGGCATGACTTTCAATTGAGAAAATAAATTCTGTTTCCAATGTCATACTTATTTATCGATGGGTTTGAGTCATTTTTATCAATAAATTCAAATGTTTTTTCCTATTCTGTCGTTATCTTACATCTCATACGACAGCAATCGTCGTCCACATCGAGAAATTGTATTTGTACAAGCTATTTAAATAATAGAAGCAAACATATATAAGTGTAGACCATCACACAGATACATTGCATCTGATGTAGGGCAATATCATTTTCCGTCTCGTGAATGAGGCACAAAACAACAGTGAGCAATGGGATGCGGGAGGAGCAAATCTGACGAAAGTCAGTGTCGCGCGTGAGTTCGATCAATACTTTGAGTTTTGCATGTTCCGGTATGATCCGATGCACGATACACACTGGCAAACATTCTTACTGGTTCATGACCTGTAAAAAATGAATAATTTTGTGCCGAAGTTACCCTTAAATTGAACAAAAAAGTGTTTTGTGGAATTTCTGTTTTGTTCCTTTCGTTCTTCGATCACTGTCAGTATTGAATGTGTCCAGGGAATGTGGAGGCGAGACGTCAAAGCGTGATCGACATTTGTGCTGTAATTCACACGTTCAAATACACACACTCAGGCTTTCGGACCTATATCGTTTTGGTGCCTGTACATTCTCTCCAATAATGGTGATGTTTCAGGAATCTTTTGTACACAGGGATGTGTGCGCGCGTTGCCCTACATATGTGGTCCTGTTGAAACTGTAGATCGATGTTTTGGCTTCATCATTATAACCAGCACGTTCGTGTGTTGCACTTTTCTTTGCACGGTCATACTTATTGTAAATTGTCCTATCCTTAGACCCATCGATAAGTTATTTTGAGAGTTCACCTTCCCTGGCAACTTGCCGTTTTTAGGGGCTCATCGGTGGACACTGGGTCCTTTGTATT